TGGAATTTGGGGGATAACTGGGAAGACACTGAGATGTAAAAAACAAATAATTGTAAGCAAAATATGTAACACGATGTTTGACAAGCACAAACTAATGTAGATAGGTTGAAAAACTAATAAAATGTTTATTAAAAAAAAAGAAGTGGTTTGCCATAGGTAAACTGTACAGTTCCAAGCTTCCCCCTAGAGGAAGAGAAGGGGAAACCACTTCTCGGAGTATTTTCTACCTGGAAAACCCTGGAAAGGGTCACCATTAGTCAGAATTCACTTGACAGCCCATCATGTAGATAGATTAAAAAACTAATAAAATGTTTTAAAAAATAAACTATCATCTTCACTCTATATTTACCACTCTCCATTGTTCACTTGGGTAGAAAGAACTGCAGTACAGTGGTGGCTCGCAAGATTAATGCCTTGCAATACAAAAAACTCGCAAGACAAATGGTTTTGGCGATGGCCTTGATAACTCGCAAGACAAATGTTCCTATGGACGTGCTTCACAAGACAAATGTTTTCCGTTTTCTGTTCCTGCCTCATGTTTGCTGATTTTTAAATGTTTTTCTATGATGTTTAAAAAGTTAAAGTTTTTTGATTGAAACTTTTGAAATCATCTCCACAATATGTATGGCTTTAAAGAGCACTTAATAAACCCTTTGTAAACCAAATTTGACTTTGTTCTGACTTTTTTTGCCCATAGGAACGCATTAATTAGATTTCAATGCATTCCTATAGGAAAACGTGTTTCGCAAGACGAATTTTTTGTAAGACAACATTAACCTCAGAACGAATTAAATTCATCTTGTAAGGCACTACTGTATTACACTATCAGGTAACAAAAGCCAGACACAAAAGATTCTTTTTAAAAAGGTCTCCATCCTTTTTTTTTGTCTTTAGCATTTTTAAAGGTGAAGACTACCATAAGGTGCCCAGAGGTCTAAGCTGCAATCACAATTTGCTGTTCTTTAGTCATGAAGTCGTGTCCGACTCTTCGTGACCCCATGGACTAGAGCACGCCAGGACCTCCTGTCTTCCACTGTTTCCCGGAATTGGGTCAAACCCATGTTGGTAGTTTCGATGACACTGTCCAACCATCTTGTCCTCTGTTGTTGTTAGCGCAAAACCTTGACAGTTGTTCTCTTTTCCTCTTGACCTCACACTTTCCCAACATCAGGGTCTTTTCCAGGGAGTCTTCTCTTCTCATGAGATGGCCAAAATATTGGACCTTTGTCCTTCAGCCTCAGCTTCAGGATCTGTCCTTCCAGTAAACACTCAGGGTTGATTTCCTTCAAAATGGATACGTTTGATCTCCTTGCAGTCCTGGAGACTCTCAAGAGTCTCCTCCAGCACCACAATTCAAAAGCATTAATTTTTCGGCAGTCAGCCTTCTTTATCGTCCACCGCTCATTTCCATACATTGCTACTTGAAAAACCATAGCTTTGACGATGCGGACCTTTGCCAGGAAGGTGATGTCTGCTTTTTCAGATGCTATCTAGGTTTGTCATCGCTTTCCTCCGAAGAAGCAGGGATCTTTTGATATCATGGCTGCTGTCACCATCTGCAGTGATCATGGAACTCAAGAAAGTAAAATCTGTCTCTGCCTCCATATCTTCCCCTTCTATTTGCCAGGAGGTGATGGGACCAGTGGCCATGATCTTAG